AAAAGTTTAGTACAAAAAAAAAAAAAGAGGCTTTATAGGAAATTCTAATGGCTACCTAGTTTGGACAGTCACCTGGTCAGAAAATACGGCTAAAAGCATAAAGTAATTATTTAGCTGATTATAATTTCAGGATCTACCACAGTGCCTAGCACATGATAAATTCTCAGCCAATATTTATTTAAATACTGAGTCCATGGGTATTTTGTGATATTGTCTGGCATTGTGAAAAAGAATACCAAGGCAAAATCATAGCGATAGAAAGTAGAATGGTGGTTGCCAGGGGCTGGAAGAGGCGAGAATGGGGAGTCATTATTTACTAGATAAAGCATTTCAGTTTTGCAAGATGAAAAAAGTTCTAGAGAGGGATGGCGGTTATGGTTGTACAATGGTATGAATATGTGTAGTAGCACTGGGCTGAACACTTAAAGATGGCTAAGATAAAGAATTTTATGTTATGTGTGTTTTACCACAATAAAAACATTTGGGAAAAAAAAAGACTGAGAGTAGAGTGCTGGTGGCACCAATTTTTGTGGTGTGGGAGACAGGAAAAGGGTTGGCAGAGTTGAGTGAAAAAGGAAGGACAAGTCAGGAAGCCAAGAATGGGGGTGGCTTTTAGATGGAAGATTTGGGAAGGTCAACCATATCAAATACTGTGGAGGTGGAGGAGGCTGAGGATCAAGAAGATGCCACCGGTGGGTGAGCTATGAGGAAATCACTGGTGCTCTTACAAAGTCCGAGACAAGACACTGGTGGTAACTGAAGACACCCCCCCCCCCCCCACACACACACATGACTGAGAGGATAGAAGTTGAAACGGTGGGTAGAAAAGACAAAAGTTTGGCTTATGAGAGCCGATTTCACCCCACTGAAAAGTTGTCTCAACAAAGGTTTCCTCTGTGCAGTTCAGAGGGCACAACTTGGATTAATGAACTAAAATTCCAGGAAGACATCTCTCACCTTAATTTTCTCTCGTGTGGAGCTTTGAAAAAACTGGAATCAGCTGCTTGGGATGTGGTGGCTTCCCATGCCTGGACATGTTTATGGTCTGCTTACACTTATGGAAGTTGTGTAAAAATGATTCCCGAGTTAGGTAGGAAGTGTGTCAAATGACCAGCAAGGGTTCCTGTGTCTCTGTGAACATACATCATGTTACTGCACTTTGGGAATGCTTTGGAGTTTGGAAGATAGGGTTTTAAATCAAGACACTGCCAGAGGACCTCTCTGAGAAAAGAAGAGGTGGGACACTCGGAGCCTTGTGAACCAATGGTGTTGAATTTTGAAAAGTAGCTTGAGTTTTTCCTTCCTAAACTGTATTCAGCGACCTGTCTTCTCATGAATGGAGATATCAAGGTTAACATCATCAGTGATGTCATGTGGGTATCATGTACTCGTCACATGATGTAATAAGAGGATATTTTGGGATTTAGAACCAATCCCATGCCCAGGCTATTTTGATCTTCTATTTTACCATTTATTAGCACAGTGATTTATCAGTGGGGATCTGATTATGAATGCAAAAAAAAAAAAACCCAAAACCTCTGGCATAACTTTAACTGATAAATTATATTGACAAAAGTTTCAATTGTGATTCTTTCAGGAGACACATGTCTAACATTGCCATCCTTTGTTAGGAAACATCTATGTGAAAATCCTGTAATCACTTTTAGATACCTGACAATTGTAATGGAGGGTACAAACAGTGATTGAATGTGTGATTTAGATGCGAGAAGAAACTACACCCAAGAATAAGCTATGCTTCCCGTTTGCCTTTGCAGAAGCCCAACAAAGGAAACCCGTCCCTTTTTCTTACTGGTGTCTATCCATCAGCACTCACCACTATTAAATACTTCTTAAGTGGTTTTCTAGACTGGTCAGATCCTTCTGTTGGGAATCTGTCTTTCAGGATGTGGTGAACAGACACTACAAAGCTTCGTCTGGAAATATGTGGTGTGACCATGTCTTAATGCATCTTATTTTCCTAGGTCACACAAGGAAATCAATTGAATTATTGCACAGTCACACCATGCACATCAAGAAGGCTCTTGTTCTTAATACCCTTGGTGGAATTCTTCCCTCCAGCTGGACAACTTTACTCATTATCTCCCAAACACACTACACTCATTTCTATGTCATTGCCTTTGATTCAGTTTAGTTCCCAATCTCTGAAACTTTTCCCTATGATTTCTCCAGCTTAACACATTGCCTCTTTTTGGGGTTCCACTAGAATCTGTTTTCTATATGCCTGACACTTAAACTATATGGCCTAATGTTTCTTTCTTTCTTTATACTTTTAGTCTCTGCAAATAGTTTTATTGGTAAAGAAAATAATTTATTAATGTTACATTGGATTGGCTTTCCCTAACGCATTTTTAAGACCCTAAATTCTGGGGCTTTTTCAGGTTGGGTAAGCATCTACTCTAAAATTCTATGTTCTTTTCCTTACCATTATTAAAGTTTGATGACTGTTTCGTCATGGGTCAGAGACTGTGTTATCACTAAATCCAGAGGCCAACTCCACATTTTCTCCTCATTTTGCAATCGGATAATCCTCCCTGATAACAAATTGTTCTTTTGGTTGGTTCCTTTCGCCTCCTCTCTATGGACTACTATGGAAATTCAGTGAGCCAAGAGCTTTTCATTTAAAGTATTATAATGTCTGACTGTCTGGAATGGTCTTATCATAAAGGAATGGGAATCAAAAAGTCAAGTTTTGACAACTGATGATTTCTAAGAAACTAGCTCTAGGTTATTATGGGGCTCCCATTCAATTTAGTCATTGTCACAGATTTAATAATGGTCATGGTGAGAAAAAAAGAGGTTGATTTACTGGCAAAGGCATTATTGTAGTGTTGACAGTTTTCAGATATATTAGTTAGTTTATGTGTGACAGGTTGTTAAATTATTTCCCTCTCTGGGCTTTAAAATATGAGATTGTGGAGTACTCTTATCAAAAAAGTGTTATCCATCATTCCTTAGCCTTTCTTAAATAACAAGATACTGTTTCTGCCATTTGGGGTAAAATTTTACATTGGAGAAGGAAAGAGTTTATATTTTAGTTTCTTAATTTTGAATGAACATAAAGTATTTGTGAGGACCCCCTTATTTTTTTCTGTCCTATCACTGCTTCTCTTCCTAGCTCTGAAAATCCAGAAGCCTGTCCTTGAGTTTTGTAGCATATGCAGTTTTCCAGGTGATTTGAGAGATCTTGGAAAAATACATCCTTATCTTAGAACATGTCTTTCCGTGAGATGTCCTGATGCCCCGAATCCTCACTGTCCTGGGACGCAGATGTTACATCCCTCTTAAGAGTCTGACTATTTCCCTTGTCTCTGCTCAACTCCCTACCCATGGCAGACTGCCGTTCTTTTTTCTTTTAAAGTAAGCGTTTGTGTTTTTTTTAATGTTTATTTACTTATTTTTGAGACAGAGAGAGAGAGAGGCAGAGAGAGAGGGAAATAGAGAACCCCAAGCAGGCTCCACACTGTCAGTGTAGAACCCGATGAGGGACTCAAACTCATGAACCATGAGATCGTGACTTGAGCTGAAAACAAAAGTCAGATGCTTACCTATCTGAGCCACCCAGGCACACCTAGGTTGCCCTGTTTTTGGACTTGGATAACACCATGTCCCTGGACATCAGTTCTGGCCTCTCATTCAGCAAGGGCCAGAGATGGAAGGAGTTAGTACTCATTATAGGGAATTTTGTCCAGGAAATGGGTGATGAAAGTGATTGAGGCAGATAAATTTCTCCTTCATTCTTTTTTCCATGATCTACTTCAAGATGCATTCTTGAAAAATGCTTTGTATAGCTTATGTATGAGTGAACATGTTGTCTGAGCAAATTTCAGTGTCTTTTTGTGGTGCAACTTGGAGCTGCATCAGGGTGATGAGTACACACATTGCATTCATTGCTTTGCCTTCTTCTTTGCTTCATTTCCTTTTTTTTTTTTTCATTATCATGACCCCAGAGCATGTACCTCCCAAATAAAGTCATAATCCCATCATTTGTATCTCAGACTTTACTTTCTAGAAGACTCAGGTTGAAGCACTTGATTTTAGAGTATTTGAGTTAAGCCATTTCTCTCCTTGTATATCTGCACTGAAAGCAAATACATTTGGAAAAGAAATTATATTTAAAAGCTATCCTCTATTTGGAGGAATTTCAGGCCAGGACAGAGATTCTGGTTTATAGGAGGGCAAAACAACAATGGAAAAAGAGGTAGTTAACAAAACATGCTGGAAGAGAACACTAATGTCAAACTTCACCTATTTCAGTTTTTGCTCAGTCAACCACAAGCCCACGGTGATAAACATCATTCCATTCCCTAATAGTTTTTTCGACTGCATGTTAAACATTATTTCTTTTTTCACCTTAGAAAGTTCTCTCTGTATAGTACGCATACTCAGGATTCTGTTTTTCTTCTTGACAATGAAGATACAATGAGAAAATCCCCCAGATCCTGATAGCTTTTACTCTGAATATTGATTAAAACTTCTAACTCTGTATGAACTTTATTTTTTTTAATTAGAGATATGATTTATAATCCACTTGGTTGTTAGACAGTACCATCCCAAGGATCTGCCTTTATCTATTGTTTTTGTATCACTGAATCACTTAACCAACCAACTGAATCAGTAATCCCATCAGACATACACAGTGTGCTAAGTCAGGAGCAGAAGTGTCCTGAGAATACAAAGAAGCATACAAGTAGAAGATGCCATATTTCTATTCATCAATTAAAAATTCTGGAAAGGAACAGTGCGGGGGGAAGGCCAACATACAGTTTTGCCTCGCTAAGTACATACATATAATTACACTGTAGGAATGTGGTGTGGTATGCATACATATATGTGTATGTATCTTTTGTACTTTATTTCATAACCATGTTTTATACATGGATCAAATCACAGCATAGGTGTAGAAAAATGTCAATATCCACTTATGAGAATGATAATTTACTGTTTTACCAGAATAATTAGAATTCTCTTTTTTACTTCAGGTCTTTATAGCTGCCACCGTGTGGAGTACCTACCCTGTGCCAGGCGTTACCAAGGTTAATAATTCATAATTTGTTTTTCTTTAAGCACATAGCTCTATCTCTACCATGTAAGTTACTTACAGTTTACAGATGGAGACTCTGAAGTTCAATGTTCAGTGTCTTAATCATAATCACAAAGCTAGTGATGAGAAGGTGTATCCAGGATTCAAATGCAGTGCCATTTGACTCCAAACTTACTCTTTCCCCATTAATCTGTACTGCTCCTTTCTAATATAAATAGAATTTTAGGGATTTGACTATGAAATATTCTTCCAGTTTCTGCTTACATTCGTAGATTGATAAGTTCTCCTCTGACTTACAGTTGGATTCTCTTTCTCTTTCTTTCTTTCTTTCTTTCTTTCTTTCTTTCTTTCTTTCTTTCTCTCTTTCAAGAGGAAAAGAGGGTGCAAGTGAGTGAGGGGCAGAGAGAGAGAGAGAGAGAGAGGGCGAATTCCATGAGGGGCAGAAAGAGAGAGAGAAGTGGGGCTTCCCTAAAGCAGGGCTCACCCAAAGCGGGGCACGAGCTCTCCAGAAGCAGGACTCGAGCTCCCCAACAGTGAGATCATGACCTGAGCTGAAGTCAGACACTTAAACTGACTGAGCCATCCAGGCACCCCTACAGTTGGACTTTCTAGTGGGGCATGGAGTGTGGTTCAAATCCTAAAATCAGATATATATGATGTCGTAAGAAATCATTGGATCTGAAGTTGTCCTACATCATCAGAATACAGATGAATGGCCATTTTGTGATAATGTTATATTTTTTATTTTTAAAATATAAAATGCACTTGGCTCTAAAAATGGAAAATTCAGCTCAGAGATGAGGCAAATACAACGCAGATGACTGTTTAGGTTGGTCACATTTGATTTTTTGAAATAGTTGACCCAGCTGGCGTATAACTTACCTCAGCATTTAGCAGTTAGCTATGAGACAGTGGGTCATGCTTCTTGTCAAGCTGTGTCTCTTTCAATGCTTATATTGTTCCCAATGACTTCATTCTCCGTGCTGGCTGACAGGGATAATACTTTTAGTAAATTCAGTCATTTTTAATTTGAGCATCTTGTAAATGGAGCTTTGACGCACGAAAGTAGAATTGGGTGCTTTTCTTTTTTTATCTTTAATGTTATGAGTACGGTGGATATTTAAAAGCTAGCACCAGAAATACTCAATTTCCAGTCACTTTGCAAACCACTGATCTAACGTTATTTTGTTTTGTTTTGTCTTTATCGCGTTAATGCATCTTCCAGAAATTCTGCCGGCCACATGAAGTAGGTTGGATGAAAGAATAAAAAAGGAAAAAGACTGAAATATATGAATGATAGGTGACATCTAATACAGTTTTAAAAGGGACATCTAAAAAGTTTTGAACTATTTTTTAGGTAAAAAGTAAAATATGAAACAAAACAGAACAATGACAAAAAAGAACAAATAGACCATCAATATACCACTTCCCAGTAGTACAAGAGATTTAGCAGTTTCCTTTAATTGTACGGAGACTAAAACCCCCGTGTTTAATCAGACAGCCAAAAATGGCCAACGTGCTATGGAGCTACATTACCAGAAATAAGGTGCCCTCAATTTGGGGGCTGAGAGCCCCATTCTACTCTGTCTTTGCCAGACCATGTGAAATGGCACCTTGGTTTGACCTTACATATAGAGGACCGTGGCAAGGCTTATAAGGGTCTTGATGATGACAGGGAAAATGTACTTGAAGGATCCAGGATGTTTAGCCTGAAGAGAAATTCTTTCAGGGAGACTTGATAGCTGGTTTCAGATAGATGAGAATCTGTCATGGGAAAGAGTAGATTTATTCCAGGTGATTCTAATGAGCAGAGTAAAATTACAGGAAGGCAAAACCCAGCTTCACATAAAGAAGCATTTATAGAGCTTAAGACATAGGTGGTTAATAAACGTTTAAAAAAAATTTTTTTAATGTTTATTTTTGAGAAAAAGAGAGAGAGAGAGAGAGAGAGAGAGAGAGAGCGCAGGGGAGAGGCAGAAAGAGAGGAAGACACAGAATCAGAAGCAGGCTCCAGGCTCTGAGCTGTTAGCACAGAGCTGGAAGCAGGGCTCGAACCCACCAACCAGGAGATCATGACCTGAGCCAAAGTCGGATACTTAACCAACTGAGCCACCAAGGCACTCAATAATCTTTCTGAATGAAGGAAGGACTGCAGTTGAAATAATGGATGGATGGTCTCATTGAAGTGGACTGCCTTAGAAGAGAGTGAATACTCTCTCTACTGAAATTTTAAAGGCCAACTTGATGAACTCTCCCAGAGGATGATTTTAGTTGGTTGGTAGGATATTTTAATACATGTAAAATTCTTACTAATTCTGGAACTGAAATTTAACAAAATTTGTGACTCTTCTGAATGAAAATCTTGTTCTGTTTTCCACATCTGAGTACGATATTTTCTTTCATTTTCTCTAAAGTAGAATCCATACTTTCTCTGATGCAGATAGGGATTATTTTCATAACATGTCGTTTTAAACAAATTCGTTTACTCTATTATTTCATTTAATTTTAATGAACTAGATTATTGGATGGGCAGAGAACCTATGATTCTAATTTTTCTTGAGGGAAAAGGTCAGGAGAGGTTGCTAATTAGCTCAAGGTCACATAGTGAATTAATGACTGAGTTCAATGATCTTTCTGTAAGATAATGGAACTCTCCTTAAGAAAATTTTTAAGAAGCCAAAATTCGAGCCTTCAAGGCTGTGTGACTGATTTATATTAAAACAACACATTCAAAATGAAAGCTGTATTTTAGAGAAAAAATATTAAAACAGGTTGGAGAAACTGCAATGGTTCTCAACCGGGTCAATTTTCCTCCCAGGAACATTAGGCAATGTCTGGAAATTTTTTGATTGTGACAACTCAGAAGTAGGGGGCGGGGAAGGGGTGGGATGCTACGGGAATTTAGGAGATAAAAGGCAGGACTAATCATCCTAGAATGCACAGCCTCCCATAACACAGAATTATCCAGTGTGAAAGTTGAGAAACCTTTGGATGTCTTGCATCCATTTAAACCAGAACTTGGATTCCTTTGAACAGTGAGGTGAGATGTATAGCATGTAAAATACCTTTAAGCTCTTCTTTCCTTTTTTTTTTTAATTTTTTTAAATGTTTATTTATTTTTGAGACACAGAGAGACAGAGCATGAACAGGGGAGGGGCAGAGAGAGAGGGAGACACAGAATCTGAAGCAGGCTCCAGGCTCTGAGCCGTCAGCCCAGAGCCTGACGCGGGGCTCGAACTCACGGACAGCGAGATCGTGACCTGGCTGAAGTCGGACGCTTAACCGACTGCGCCACCCAGGCGCCCCTAAGCTCTTATTTTCTAAAGACTTTTCATTTACTCAGAATAAAGTTATATTTGCCAAATTGCTACCTTTGACTGCCAAGGATTATACGTTGCGGAAGAAGCCCTGCCTTTCAGGCTAAGCATTGGAAATCTTTTCTGCCTCTACTAATAGTCCTTTCTTTGCCTCTTTCCTATACCTTTGGCATCCTTCTATCAATTTGCTATCACAATAAAACCAAAAACAACTGGGGCCCCTAGGTGGCTCAGTCGTTGACCATCCGACTTCAGCTCAGGTCATGGTCTCACGGTTTGTGGGTTCGAGCATCGGGCTCTGTGCTGACAGCTCAGAGGCTGGAGCCTGCTTTGGATTCTGTGTCTCCCTCTCTCTCTGCCTCTCCTCCACTTGTGCTCTGTCTCTCTCTCAAAAATAAATAAAATGTAAAAAAAAAAAAACCAAACTTAAACCAAAAACAACCCTCTTTTTTTCTTTATATATTGACTGATCTTTTCCCTCTCTTTCTCAGTTTGACATCTTTGAAGAGTCATCTGCAATTATTTGCATACTTTCTATGCATTAATGTTTCTTCCTAATGTTTGTCTTTTGGCATCCCTTATACCTGTGCTTGGTACAGCAATCCAGCGAATCACTCAAGCCACAAACTCCAGTCACTCTAGACTTCTTTTTTTCTCACTGCCTACCTTATCCCACCAGTCACCGAGTCTTCTCTATTTTACTTTGTGACTGAGTCTCACAGATTCATTTCTTCTTCTCCATACCCACTGCTGCCACCTTTGTGTTAAAGTACTGGTGTTAAAGTAACCTTTCCAAACCAAAAAAATAATTCTGTTGTTTCTCACTTAAAGGTTTTCAATGACCCCAACTTAGGTGCCTAAGAATCCAAAGTAATTAATATGGTCATTTGTTATTACCTACCCACCCCCGAGCCTTCTCTCCAATCACAATCCCCACCAGACAAACCAGAATAAGTTGGGTTATGCATATTGTGTCTTCTTACAAGTTGTCCCTTTTGTTCAGAATGCCTTGGTCAATTACAACTTTATGTGTCCTTTTCTTTAAAATTAATTTTAGTTTAGGGCTCCTGGGTGGCCCCTCATTGGGCTCCACACTGGCCATGAAGCCTACTTAAAAATTAATTTTATTTTAATTAGTATGTATAATAAATCATCATAATATGTATAATAAATATTTTAATTAAGTTATGTATAATAAATATACATAGATTTTTAAAAGCCCAAGAGTACTAAAAGGTTTATAACCAAAAATAGCATAAAAACTTAAAAAACAAAAACAAAACACACAAAACAAAACAAAACAAAAACAAACAGCAGATCTTTGTACCAAAGCTTCCTGCCTCTCTGCCTCCTGGAAGCAACCACTTTTGTCTATTTGAAGTGTCTCTTCTGCATTTACCTCCCTCATGCTAAATAACTTGCTTGTAATGCTATTTCTTGGCTTGTCAACTTAAACTTTCCCTACTGAATTTCTCCTCTCCCATAATTTCAGTGGGGTTACCATTAGGGATGCCGCTGAGAACGTTGAAAAACCAGCACAGCAAAGATACTGATTCATCGCAACGGTCTCCCCACATGGTGTAGGTGGGCTAATTACTGGCCTTGATTTTATGACAGTTTTTGATGTAATGGATTTAAATAATCAGTGTTTACATCACTATTACCATGTAAGTACTGTCTCCTGCAGAAACAAATAACATTATGTCATCTTGCTTGCACAATTTTTTTCTTTCTAGAAGTTACTGGTTGAGGTTTACAACAATCATTTCTTCCTTCTTAAAACTCACCACAAGCCTCACCTGTTCTATCAAGTCTTTGCAGCTAGGTAGAGCCGATTCTCCATCCTGTGTTACCTCTGTTGTTGTCCTTGCTACATGCACGACCCTTAAAGATTTCTGTGTCTCTCTTCCTCACCAGAATGAGAGCTCCTTCAGGGTAATGACAGTATCTGTTATCTTTGAACCCTCAGTGTCTTGTGCCAGTGCAAAACACAGAATACTTAGTAAATATTTGTTGCATTATGGATGGAACAAGAGGGTCTTTTGTCTTTGAAGCTGCCTTCAGTACTGAGCAAAATGGTTTTGTGCGCATTTCTCTGATTTCTGAGTCACTTCGTATAGATCACAAACTGAAATGCCTGTCAAGATGCAGGCAGTTAAAATAAATGAGCGCGGCCACGTCTGATGGGGTCCGTGGCATTAAACGGGTCACCTGCTGCTTGACTCCGGCAAGTCGCTGCCCGGAAGGTGTTTCAGACCCGTGTTGCCAACCCTTCTGCTTTTTCGGCGGAAGTAGAAAAATCCAGGTTTGCTACGAACTGCCGTGATTCAATTTTTTAAGACTATGCAGACTGAGAACATGATTCCTGGGAGCGGATTTGGTTCGTGGCCACCAGCTTGTGACGGTGGCCTGAAGATTGTGGGTGAGCAGTAGCATAGCACATGCGACTCCAGTGCCTTGTGCTTGGTGTTTGGTTTGCCTGAGCATGGGTCCTCCCTGGGGGGTCCTCTCCAGGGCTGTCCCCAGTGGTGGCATCCCTTCACCAGCTGACGCCAGCGTGTGGAGTGAGTCGGAACAGAAGAGAGTCTGGGCACAGGCCCCAGCCTGGCAGAATGTTTGAAGGCGCTGGGCAGCGTTTCAGTGGAATCAGGGCTTCCACTCTTAGGTGGAAGTGGAGAATGATGGGTTAAATAATACGTGGTAGAAGAAAGTGCAAGTAGACTAAAAACTGTATACTAGGTGCCAAGCCATGTGCCTTCTCATACGTTATTCAATTTTTTTTAATTTTTATTTATTTTTGAGAGAGAGAGAAAGAAAGAGATATAGAACATGAGTTGGGGAGGGGCAGAACATGAGGAGAAGGAGACACGGAATCCGCAGCAGGCTCCAGGCTCCGAGCTGTCAGCCCAGAGCCCGATGCCGGGCTCGAACCCACAAACCGCGAGATCATGACCTGAGTGGAAGTTGGACACTTAACCAACTGAGCCACCCAGATTCCCCTTATGTTACTTAATTTAACTTTTACAATAACCTCGAGGAGATGGTGTCATCTCCAGTTTGCAGAGGTTGAATCTCTGTAAGATTTAGAGGTTTTTAGTAAAATTCCCGCCATTAAAATAGATTAACACCAGAATTAAGGCTTCCTGATTCTGCCCATGCAGAAAGCCCATGTATGGGATTTTAAAAATGAATTAAACCTATTTTATAATAATAAAGACATGGATTGAAATTTTCTACTAGAAATGGATCCTGGGATCTTTGAATCTGAAAGTTGTTTTCTTCATTTACAGATGGATTATTCATTCCTTCAACATTTGTAGAGTATCTATTGTGTTCTGTGTTAGTTACCAGGGTTACAAAGATGCGTAAATATACAATCCCTGTGCTCGGAAAGCGCTGAATGATTGTATGTTTCTGGTTTGTTATAAGTGTGACAGGAGGGTGGCAGGTGTTGGGATAAAAGATATGAAAACTCTAGAAATTTGGTAGCCAAATTGTTTTTTTTTTTTTAATTTGGGAGATACTCCTTTGTTTGTTGTTGTCACAGATAAAATATGCTAGTAGGAAACTGAAAAATGAAAATAAGGAAAATTAAGGCAAAAGTCTCCTAACCAGTGTGAGCAACTCTATGTACTTAATTACCTACCTTTTGATTATCTATCAATATAAACATTTTTTACATTTATCACACACAGATGCAGAGAAACACACAGATCACACTGCATTATTATTCTATAGCCTATTTCTCGTATTTAGGAATATATCAAAATGTTCTATTACTAGTTGAATTATGCCTGAATAGTATTTTATTGCATGAAAATAGTTCTATGTATTTAACCAACTCTATCTTGTTAGATATTTAGGGAATTTCCAATTTTTTATAATCTATGTCATAGAGAATTTTTACAGCTAAATCTTTTTATGTATCTTCAATTATTTCCTTAGGAAAGATTACTAGAAATGAAATGACTGGATTTAAGCATTTGTATATTTTTTGAGTTTTTTGCTTTTAGAATGTAGAGCACTAAATTGTCCTCCAGAAAAGTAGTACCGATGTATCCATCACCAGTGGATTTGATTTTCCATTTTTATTCACTATTTCAAATGCTAGTTACAACCTTTTTTTTTTTTTAACTTTTCTAATCAGACAATTAGAAAAAAGTCTCTATATGGATTCTTTTTGAAAACTCTTTTGGCCTTTGAACTTGCTAGATACTATTGTCCTCTGGTATAATACTCTCACTTCTTATTAAGGTTAATTGGTTGGCTGATTACTTGCCTTACTAGCTTTGGAACACTTTGAAGGTAGAGCATGTCCTATCTGCCTGGGTGTTTCTGGATGCTCATGGATGTCTGTTGAATTGAGTTGAATTAAAGAAGATGCATAGCTTAGAAACCATTGGCTAGATGGATAAATGTCAATACACCCAGTGGGCAAGTTATTTGATTCCTGCCAGTTACATGATAATGAGTAATTTAAGTGATCATTGGTCACATGCCAGCACTGTGTTAAGTGCTTTGCGTCCTTACCTGATTGAATCCTCACAGAAATGCTCTGGAGAAGAGATAATAATTGTCTCCACTTCGGCAATGAGGAAATTGAGAGATTATGAAATTTGCCCAAGGTACATGGCTGTAAAGTGGCAAAAAAGGTCATGAACTCAAGACTAGCTAACTCCCAAGCCCTCTTATCTTTTCCCATCTGCCCTCCCTTACCTTCTCCTCCCCTCTCCAACTTATTATAGATATTTAAATATATTTATACAAAAGTAGATAGAAGAGCATAATAAACCTTGGTTTAGCCAACACCCAGCTTTCGTAATTATCAATATGTGGCCAATCTTGTTTAATCTGTAAGTTTCTCCCTCCCCCTTGCACCCATCTTCTCTTGTTGGATTATTCTAAAATAAATGTTGGATACATTAATTTCATTTATAAGTTTTTAAATGTATATCTTTAAGAGATATGGACTCTGTTCTTTGACCTAAACCACAATATTATTAGCACACTTTAAGTTCTCTAGAACAATTCCTTAATATTATCTAATGTGTAGTCAGGGTCTGATTTCCCAGATTATCTCATAAGTGACTTTTTACATTTGACTTGTTTAAATACAATCTGCACATTGTATCCTAAACTGTGCTAACCACAACACAGTATTCCTCTCTCCCCCATACTTTTTCATGAGACCCGTCCTTCTCAACAACAGAGATACTTAGCTGAGGGAAACTCAAACTTTCAAATAATTCCCACAAATTGAATATCTAGCTCACATATCCCAAGAAGGAAGTACAAACACTAGTTAATACCAGAGAAACACTGAGTCTGTTTGGAATGGAGAAAGTACGTTGCCACATGGGTTTGTCATTCATTCTCCCTGGAAATTCATCAGTGTATTTGTGCAGCGGCTGAGAAGTCTTATTTCTCTGCCTCTGTGATGTCTCCCTCACAAGCTATGGCCAAATCTCTTCACTTAAGATGCGTACTTAGTTGCAAGTGTTGCTGGCTTTTAAATTCTGTCTTTGGCATTGAGCTTAAAAAACGAGACGTGCTGGCCTGTGTACCACCCCCCTTCCTGTGGGAGAATGCCTTGGGAATGGAAGGCACAGGCTTGTTATTTTTATAAATGGGTCATGGTTGGGGCGCCTGGGTGGCGCAGTCGGTTAAGCGTCCGACTTCAGCCAGGTCACGATCTCGCGGTCTGTGAGTTCGAGCCCCGCGTCAGGCTCTGGGCTGATGGCTCAGAGTCTGGAGCCTGTTTCCAATTCTGTGTCTCCCTCTCTCTCTGCTCCTCCCCCGTTCATGCTCTGTCTCTCTCTGTCCCAAAAATAAATAAACGTTGAAAAAAAATTAAAAAAAAAAATAAATGGGTCATGGCTTCGATAGAGTATTTTGCATTGAGGAAATTTTCAAGTTTTCATGCTTGTTTGGTTCTGTTTTGAACTTGAAGGTCTAGTGATCCTCCACTGTGTCGTGGCAGATGGGAATGCAACCAGAAGTCCTGAAAGGGATGGCCTTCTCTGTGGAGATCCTGGGGAAAACTGCGCAGGTAAGGCTTAACACACAGTGCCTTTGTGTTTTACCAGCCTCATGTTCAGTCTTGGAACGTTGATTTCCCTAAGTTTTAATTTTTAATACTACACTGATCATAAGACTGGTTAGTTTTGTGAGCATATATAATGGACCAGGCTCTCTGCCAAGTGCTTTATATACAGTAATGCATTCACTCCTCGCGAGAGCCCTCTGAGCTGGATCATATTTTCGACTTTATTTCAAGGCGAAGTCCAGAAAGATTAAGTAACTTGCCAAAGGCTACCCAGCAGGTACATTGCAAATCTGGGATTCATACAGGTCTTTCTGATTCTAGTGCTTCCATTTTTAATCATTACATTATTTTAGGTATTGCAGGTGTATGCTCCAGACTCTGGCATGGGATATTTTGGACTGGATGCATACAAAGTTGGCGTATTCTATTCAAATTAACTTCTTTCTATTCCATAACTTAAAAGAAGGGAAGAAGGCAATGACTTTTGCATATTTTTGCCCTAGAGATGCTTCAATCAGCATTCTCAAAGTTGTTAGTCTAAAGCAAAGGTGAGCCTTAGTAAAGGGTCAGGTAATAAGTATTTTAGGTTTTGTGGACCATGCAGCGTTTTTTTGCAGCTACTCAAAATTGGCCACTGCACTGTGAAAGCAGCCATTGACACTTTGCAAATGAGTGGCGTTGGATATGTTTCAATAAAACTTTATTTAGAGAAACAGGCTGTGAGCCAGATTTGGCCCCTGCGCCATAGTTTGCTGACTCCTACTTTAAGGTTCTGTCTGTCCTTTATAGATGCAGTGGTCTGTTCTTCTCCAGGGTTGTCTCTGATTCAAAACAAAACAAATCAAGTCAAAACAACCCAACACAACGCAACACAGGCCAATTCTAAAAGTAGGTGGGAGATAGATTCCTGTATTCCCTGGAAACGTTTTGGAGCTCGGAGGGTAGTGACCTGGTGTAAGTGCTCCTGTCCTAGCACCCTGGAGAAGTCATAACTGAGATGGGAACACGCTGAGCAAGTCACCGTGACGTGAGCCATCAGTTCCAGCCCAGTCTTCTGCTTTCTTCCCTCACGCTAATGGGTGGTCTGGAAAGTGCTTCCAGGCTGTGGAATCTGTTGGTGTCTTAGATCATGCTTGTGTGGGTCTTTTCACTCGCGTAGAGAGAAGAACAAGGCCAGTGTTATGTGTTTGTGTGCTTTTCTTCAGTTGGGTTTTAAATACCTCCAATGATGGCATTTTCACATTTCCCTTGGGGGTTATTGCATGATCCAGTGACTGACAGTTCTAAAAAACTTGCCTCATCATTATCCTAAATGTGTTTCCTATTTTTTTTTTATTTTAGTGAGACTATTTAACATTGAGATCTACTCTTTTAACAAAATTTTAAGTGTGCAACCCAAGATCGTTAACTATGGGCAAGATGTTGTACAGCACCTCTCTAGAAATTATTCATCTTGCATGACCCAGACTTTATACCCAGTGAATAATGACTCCTCATTCCCACCCCCGCTCCTCCCTGGCCCCTGGCAACCACCATTCTACTCTCAGCTTCTGTGGATTCAGCTGTTTAGATTTTTTTTTCTTTAATAAGTGGAATCATGTAGTATTTGTCCTTCTATAACTGACTTGTTTCACTTTGCATAATTCTTTCAAGGTCCAATCATGTTGTTGCAAATGGCAAGATTTCCTTCTTTTTTAAGACTGAATAGTATTCCGTGGCTTGCATAAACCACATTCTATTTATCCATTCATGTGTTGATGGATATTTAAGTTGTTTCCACATCTTGGCTATTGTGGATTGAATAGTGCTGCAATAAACATAGGAGTATGTGTGTTTCTTCGAGATTCTGATTTCTGTTCTTTTGGATAAATACCCAGAGGTAGGATTGCTCAATCGTATGGTAGTTCTGTTTTTAATTTTTTTAAAAAAACTCCATACTATTTCCCATAGCAGTTATAGGTTACCTTGTCAGTCTATTGTTTCTATCCTGTGCAGAAGAATTTTAGCTCATTTAAGGTCACACAGTAAGCAGAGTAGCCTGACATGAATTTGGAGAGACTGACTCCATTGTTAATCACAATGCTAAACTCCTAGAATCGTGGGGGAAGGTCAGAATGCTGAATATGTGAAGGAAATTCTGAAAAATAGTCCTTGAAAGTAAAGCCCAAATAAGGGCAAAATGTTCTTTTTTTTTAAAAAAAAAATATTTTAAATGTTTACTTATTTTTGAGACAATGCAAAAGACAGAGTGCAAGCAGCAGAGGGGCAGACAGAGGGAGACACAGAATCTGAAGCGGGCTCCAGGCTCTGAGCTGTCAGCCCAGAGCCCGACGTGGGGCTTGAACTCATGAACCGTGAGATCATGAGCTGAGCCGAAGTCGGACGCTTAACCGACTGAGCGACTCAGGCGCCCCAAGGGCAAAACATTCTTAAAAAGGAATTAATATGGAGTAGGAGAAGATTGTCCTTATTGACTGTGTGACCGTGGGTGAGTCACTTAAGCTTTCAGACATCAATTTGTAATCTATAAAATGAAGGAATAGTTCAGATCATCTTTAGGAGTTGGTCTTTTTTTTTCTTTCAATTTTTTCATTTTTTATCTTTTAATTAAAAAAAATTTTTTTTTCAACGTTTATTTATTTTTGGGACAGAGAGAGACAGAGCATGAACGGGGGAGGGGCAGAGAGAGAGGGAGACACAGAATCGGAAACAGGCTCCAGGCTCTGAGCCATCAGCCCAGAACCTGACGCGGGGCTCCAACTCACGGACCGCGAGATAGTGACCTGGCTGAAGTCGGACGCTTAACTGACTGCGCCACCCAGGCGCCCCATTATCTTTTAATATTTTTAGAGAGAGAGCACGCAGGCATGCAAGCAGAGGAGGGGCAGAGAGAGAGAGAGAGAGAGAGAGAGAATCTTAAGCAGGCTCCACACCCAGTATATATCCCAACACAGGGCTCGATCCCACACCCCTGGGATCATGACCTGAGCTGAAATCAAGCATCAGGCAGTCAACCTGAGCTATCCAGGAACCACAGGAGTTATTTTATTTCTAAATGATTTTATTCTTTTATTGTCAAATAGCCCCAATCTCTAAGCATTTCACTTTTAGTTTGTCCTTTTCTATCTTGAGTAAGGAATTTATTCATTCCTACCAATACTTTTGCAGCAGGCTCTGTCCCCGGTACCAAGGATGAAACAATGAACAACATAGTCAAAGATGAGGTCAGAGAGGTAATGCAGAAAGAGAGGTAATGAGTAATGTCATGCAGAGCCTTGCCAGGGATTATAAAGCCTTCAGCTTTGAGTTTTAATAGCATCACTCTGGTGTCTGTGTGCAGACTAGACAGTTAAGAGTGGACAGGATAGAAGCAGGGAGACTAGTTAGATGTTGTTGCCATGGAGACTACTTCCAGCCTAGAGATGCTGTCAGGCTTAGACCAGGCTAGTAGAAAAGGAGGGACGATTCTGCATACATTTTTAAATACAGCCAATAGAGTTTTCTGATGAATTGGATGCATAGTAGAAGAGAAAGAAGTCAAAGTGGCTCTAAGATATTTGGCCTGAATAACAAAGAAAGTATCATTTACTGAGATGGAGAAAGACCAGACTTGAGGGAGAAAATCAGGTGTGCCCTTTGGAAGTGTTCATTTGAACTGCCAGTTAGGCAACCAAGTGTTGGTTGGACAGTTGGACACTGAAGGAAGAGATCGGGGATGGAAACATAAATTTGGGAATTGTTACCATAACGGTGTTGAAAACCAGGAAATGCCCAGAAAGGAGTGTAAAAGCCCTTAGTCCCAAAGCATTGCAAAATGTAGAGGTTGGGGGATATAGGGAAGAACCAGCAAAGGAGACTGAGCAAAGGGGGCATTATATACATAAGAGTTCCAAAACATGCACTCGTGAAAAACGAAAGAAACACAAGTTTTCTTCCCGTTCATTGTTCTTTGTTTGCCCCTCAGCTATGAATAATTTTTAACATGCAAATATACACACACATCTACACTAAACTCTTTTTTCTTCCTTTAGAGGGATGGCATGAAAAAGGGCAGCTCTTTTTTGTTTTGTTTTATTATTATTATTTTTTGATTTTTAAATTTTATTTAAATCCAAGTTACTTAAGGGGCGCCTGGGTGGCGCAGTCGGTTAGGCGTCCGACTTCAGCCAGGTCACGATCTCGCGGTCCGTGAGTTCGAGCCCCGCGTCAGGCTCTGGGCTGATGGCTCAGAGCCTGGAGCCTGTTTCCGATTCTGTGTCTCCCTCTCTCTGCCCCTCCCCCATCCATGCTCTGTCTCTCTCTGTCCCAAAAATAAATAAACGTTGAAAAAATAAATAAATCAATCAATCCAAGTTACTTAAGATATAGTGTAAGAATTTAGTGATTCATCACTTACATACAACACCCAGTGCCCATCCCAACAAGTGCCCTCCTTAATGCCCCTCACCCATTTAGCCCCTCCCCCCCAACACCCCTCCAGCAACACTCAGTTTGTTCTCTGTATTTAGGAGTCTCTTATAGTTTGCCTCTCTTATCTTATTTTTCCTTCCCTTCCCTTATGTTCATATATTTTGTTTCTTAAAATTCTACATGAGTGAAATTATATGATATTTATCTTTCTCTGACTTATTTTACTTAGCATAATACCCTCTAGTTCCAACCACGTTGTTGCAAATGGCAAGATTTCATTCTTTTTGATCGCTGAGTAATATTCCATTGTATATACACACCACATCTTCTTTGTCCATTCGTCAGTCGATGGACATTTGGGCTCTTTCCATACTTTGGCTAGTGCTGATAGTGCTGCTATAAACATTGGGGTGCATGTACCCCTTCGAATCAGCATTGAAAAAGGACAGATCTAAGTGAGGGCCCACTCCTGTAAGCTGAGAAATCATTGGCCTAATCCTCCTGTTTAAAACACATGCTGACCCATTCTGATTAGCCCCCTATATGAACATATTCTAGTAACACTGGAGGGTTAGCAAGGACATCTGTGAGAT